CAGTCACTGTCAAAGCAACCATCTCGTACGAGCCGCCCATTGTCCTTATCGCCGTCCCGCTTAAGCCACTCGCCGCCACGACGGGTGACCGATGTGTCGGCTGATAACGGGGCGAAGGTCAATCCCTCTTGATACTACTAAGTTAAGTGTAGGAAAATCTTGACATCCAAATTGGATCACTAGATTCTAGGATGGACGGAGCATGCCCAGTTCGCTTGTTTGCTCGAGTGCAGGTTTACGTTTCCTCGCCATAACCCCTCATTACAGCCGGTTTATCATGCCAAGAAGAAAGTGGCAAAAACAAATTAGTCCACGAGAGGGGAAAATAGCCGGGAATATCGATTTAGCCTTTTCATGCCAGAGTGGAGCACAGAAAATATTGGGCTATAAAAGGGAAACAAGGATATAAAGCCATTACAGTGCGCACTTAATTGATCCCACTTCCCATAACAAATTAATTGAGCGGAAAATGGCAGATGGCTTTGATGAATGTCATAAAAAAGGCTTGTCAGCAAGCCCGGTGTGTGCGACCCCCTTGCTCACACACTGCATCGCATGAAGGAGCTGCTAAGGAAGGAGGCTTGTAGCGAGTGTGTGTTTCTTCCAGTATTTACATCCCAGTGATCCTGATGTTAATCATGTTGACTTACTGACACCATTGCTAATTGTCTTCTTTCTTTTTTCCTTTCCTCATTGTCTTGTTTCATTCCTTCCACGTTCCTTTACTGCAGTTTGTGTACAGGTGCATGTTTGTTTGCCCACGTGGGAGTGTGTGTGTGTGTTTCACTGTATGTTTATACTGATAGGCTGCTGCCCCAGTAGCAGAACAAATGCTAATTTAATCAATTGGCCATAAATCCTACTGGCCGCTGACTCATGCGTCTTCTGCCCTGGGGACTCCAACAAAAACCCTGCCAGTGCAGTTTGTTCAGCATACACACACTCGTCTGCACACACACACACACACACACACACACACACACACACACACACACACACACACACACACACACACACACACACACACACAAGTACAAGCATCCATCTTCCATTCTCATGTATCCCCTATTCCATCACTGCAACATTAGAATCATCTAAAACACACATGCAGATGTTGACACGCTAAGGTAATTTCTTCTTCCTTCAGCTGTGCAGACAGATTAGAAGCTGCAATTGATCCATGTTAGGACTCACACACACACACACACACACACACACACACACACACACACACACACACACACACACACACAACTTTCCTGTTAGCCATCTTAACCAGAGAATTATTTATTGAGAGCATATTCTTCCTCATCGCCCCCTCTCCCCCACACACACGATGCTGGCACACCTGCAGTTTCATGACATCGAAATCTGCTAAAGCTGCTGAGACAGCGTCTTCATCAGCCAGAGGGGGGTGGGTTTGCGAGACNTTTCCTCATACTACCTGTGCTGGTGGATTTGTCAGGGCAGCTTTGTTCTGAAAATCATGAATAAAATACCCTAACTTCGGAAGTGTCCCTCCTTATTTGTCAAACTCAGACTGCTAAAGTTTCATATTTGCTTCGGCAGAATTAATTTTTGCACAGAACAAGGACTGTGGATTTAGTTGGAGGAGGAATAATCACAATGACCAAAAACTATTTGCAATGTACTTAAGGGCATGTGTACGGAAGGGCCAGACATAAGGAGAAAAAAGTGAAGAGCAAGATTTTGGTTATTTTGCACTTGGAGAAGAAAGTTTGAAAATTAAGTTTAAAAAAAATGTCAAATAAAGTTAAAATGTGGTGAATAAACATGAACCGTTGGAAAATAAAAGAAACTACTACGTAAGTCAAATATAACTCAAGTTTGACCTAGTACTTGACATTTTGTCTGGTGAAATGCCAATATTAAAAAAAGTCTCGATCCCCTTATCCCCCCCCCCCTTATGCCTGGCAAAAATAGCCTTCCGTACATGTGGGTATTGTATCAAGAAAACACTCTTAAGTATAACCTTTGAAAAAGAAAGGGGAAGAGAAGGCATGGTTGGCTGGAAGGTGCAGCAGGGGGAAGGGAGCGGGTGAAAAATCCTTGCAGGAGGCAGAGATAGCAAGGGGAGGGTGGAGCTGACACCTTGACGGATTGATTGAGATCGCCCAATACACGGTGTTGCCTCCAGCCGAGATTAGCAAGAGGTCTGGGTCAGCACAAACACAAAAAGTGTGTTAGATAACTCCTGCCTCGCAGCTGCAGCTCCATACTGCACCTCAAAAAATTTCCCTAGATATCTCAGAAAACTTCAGGTTTGAGAAGCACGCTTGTGTGTGCATGATAGAGAGAAAGAGACACACTGTGGGGGCCCGGTATCCATGGCAACGTCTGCCAGGTGCACTGGTTCATATGCGATTCAGGTAATTCCACGTACAATGAAAAGCATGCATATAAGGTCAGTGGTATATTCAAATGCACTGCATGTTTTCCCCCCTCTGTATTCATATTCCCTCCTGCACATATGAACCCATATCTCCCATAATGCCCTGCTTGAGTGGCAGCCTGGCAGGTATGATATTTCCACAGGGTTTGATTGAAGACTGCATTTAAATGTTGACGGAATATGTCATGCATGTTATTGTGTGTGCTTGTTACACACACCGAAGATGATGATTTAGACAAGGTCGTGATTTAAAAGAAAATAGGACTTGAAGAGAAAAATTGGGGGAGAAGAAGTGTCATAGGGCTTGCTGTCGATGGGGTTTTGGAGGCTTGTGTTAAGCCAGGGGCTTTGACAGCTGGGTTTAAGGGGAAAGGAAAGGGCTATGGATTGGAGTCTAGGTCTCTACTTCATATTCTGAAGATTAAACTCCTATCCTGCTCCTCCTCCTACACCATTTTGGACGTCTGTGGCATGATTTTTACTCGGCTGTTTCTGGGTGTTTTCTGCAGTGATTTACAGCCAGGGTTAGTTGCTGCTGGTAAAGCGTGCAATCAGATATTCCGTGCCAGAACTCGCCAACATTAGCAGTCCGAGTCGTACATTTGCTGTAATCACCAGGCGCGCTGACAATGTTGATATGCACTCCAATGTGATGGTGATGTGATAAAGAAGTGAATAATGCAAGCACGGGCTGATTGTGTTTGTGCGTTCATGTGTTTTCAACTGAGAAACATGAAAAGATTTGGATTTAGATGCAGAATTAAAATGTATTTATACAAGATTCATATCGGAGAAGATTAGTGGATACACAGACAATTAATGGACTACATTTTAAATTAAACACAATGGCCAAAATATGACATATATGTGAATATATTCAGTTTTTTTCCATCTAATAAATAATGATAACAGATGTACATTAATGGAAAATTGCCAAAGCTTTTTACATTATGGTATTATTATTATTATTATTGCGGGAAACCTTGATATAAGTGTATCTTGGGAATGAGAACTGTGCAAAATTGATAAAATGTGCACAACATGCATATAGATTGAAGACTTATTTTCACATGGGAGGGAAAAGCAACACTGCAAATGATCTGAATGTGCACAGCTTGCAGAGCCAAGTGCACATTCAGTGATAACTAATGACACCTCCCCACTCATAGGCTAATTATGCTCTGCCTATAGGCTATAGCTGCTGGTCATTATTAAGGGAAATCAATGTCCAATCAGGTTATTGACATGGACTCAGAAACGGATAAGAAGGCTGGATTGCAACACATATATGATATTTGCTATAAAAGGGTTTTAATGACGACAAGATGACTGCACGGTACATTATTGGAGCTAAATGTAATACTTTTGTTGCCTACACATCCAGGTTTTATGGCAGAGGACACAATATTGGTTGGGTCACCCGTGAGTATGCTTGCACCAGTGGTGTAGTCAATCACTCGATAGGTGAAGATGGGTATGTTTGACTTGTGTGTGTGTGTGTGCGTATTAAAAGGCCTCCGAAAATGACCTCGCACATAGAGATGATGGTCGTAAATTGGGTTGAAGTCTCATTTTCCCCGCAGGATTTTGACCAGCTGCCACAGCTTATAACCCATTTGGCTCCTACAGCACCGGTCCTCCTCACATACACCAAGTGACACAGTTAATGAGTACATTTTATGGCCAGCTTCGACAACCAAGGAGAAGCAAATGTAATGTGAATCACGAGGGCAGTAAAGAGAACACATAATAAGTATTCCAGGGCTGTAGCCCACTGGTTTGTCATTAAAATCACAATATGGTTTGGTGCGACAAAGACAGTGTCACAGTTAAGATCAGTGCCATTCACAGATCATATCAGGCTGGGATAAATGAGACATGTGCCAAGTGTAACATAATGGGGCAATGCTGACTATCATGGGGGGAATAAATAAAGAAGGATTTTGCTGCCACCATGTGGATTATAAGAGAATTGCAATTTCAACAATATATAAGATATTTACAGAAAATAAAAATGTTTTAAAATCTAACATGTGATCCGTAATGAATTTACCTATTAAAATAATAATTCTAGGCACGATATTTCATGTAATTTTGAAATGAAATGTTAGTGTATTTGTAAACGTAATGGTAAATTAGTTGTTGAAATCAATATGGGTGTTTAGGTGCCTCTGTTTCACATCTCTTGATTAACAGTATAGTCAGAAAGCTTTATATGTTTGAATTTCAGTAAATCATTTTGCAAGGCTTTAAAACATTCGCATTGTTAAAAAATCAATTTGCACACAAACATAATTACATTATTATAAAAGTATAGTTTCTCATATCACAGTTAAAATGATAGCAGTGAACTATGTATTACTTGTCCATGGTTCCCAAAAATGCCTTATATATAGATATATGACAGTTATTTTTATTTTTTTAATAGATTTATACTTAAAAAACTTGGCCCATACTCAGATGAGTTGCACAAACTCAAGCACTTCTCTCGGCTATCTCCGTGGTTTTTCAGCCTTACCTCGGCAACTTCCGTGACTTTCCGGATATCTCCGTATCTCGGTCGGGTCCTGTCGACAGAGCTGATTTTCGCTGTCGTCGTCTCCCTCGTCCTCCTCTCCGTGTTGTTGTTCTCGGTGACGCGACGGAGGTGTAGCCTGACGCGGTCTCTTACGTGTCGGTCTGAATAAAAGTGGAGCTCCGTAGACCCGGGAGTGACGAAGCGAGTCTGTGTTGGTAAGAGGATACGCATCCGATGTTTGCTAAACAGATAGATGGCTGCCCAGAGAAGTTATTTTCGCCTAATATCTGCTCAATGCCAACAAAGAGATCATGGCGGCGGTGTTGCAGAGGCTCTCAAAATGAGTCAGTCTCTCTCTGCAAGGCTCGCAGCACAACTGAGACATAGGTATTAATATGGGAGTGGGCTTTAATGTTTTTTTTCTTACATTGTTTATAAATAAGTTACAGAAGCAATTGTTCAAGTAAATGTATGTATTCTAATACTAACCTTACGTACAAATATTCCAACCACTCGTAAGTGAAAGTGGGAGAAAAAATCTCAAGTTGCAAACATAACTGGCATTCAATGCATGCAGACATTTCCCTCCATAAATGTTCACAGCTAGCAACCTAACGTTATTAGTTAATTCAATGTAGTGTTAATTTGAAAACCTGTCTAATTCCACAGCAAAGTGCCATATTGCGAAACAAGCTGTTAGAAATGGAAATAAAGAGTTGCAATAGAGCCTTGATTAATGTTTAATAAATGGCGGTTAAATGTACTAGCATCCAATGCACTTCCATTAGCTATTAGCATGCTAACAGAATCAATGAAGCTCATACTGCTGAAGCTAGCTAGCTACATGCTATCTGTAGATTGGTAACACTCGAGATGGCTAGCCAGGCACTTAGCTTTAGCATTCTGTGTTTATGGAATGTGCGAGCTTTATTAAAATGTCGTATCATGTTTAAGATATGCACATGTATGTTATATTGTTGATGAACGTCAATACACCATGCGCCACATTATTTTACGAAGACGTATACGATGTTTTACCTATGAATTGTATGCTAGCATGTTTAGCTAAGCCACACCCTCCTTTACACCATCAACAAGCCTGGTGGACAGGGCACAACCTCCTGAGTGTTTTCTGTACACCAAAGACCTCTTTCTCACTGTTTGTGCTGCACAGTCCTATTTAAACATGATTACTTGTTGCAGATTTTAAATGACAATGGAGGCTGGTTCAGACACACAGCAAAGTGGTGAAACAGTTGTCTCGGAGTCTGAGACCCAGCAGATCACTCTGGCCCAGGTAAATCTTTACAAAATAAATGTACACGTTTCAATATAAGATGCATAATACCTGATGGAAAATAATTGATTCTTGTGAGAATTTTGTACACAGATAGGGAATGACTCAGGGTTGTCATGGTTGCAGGCTTCTATAGCAGCTGGCCAGGTGACAACCAGTGGTCCTACAGTGACTCTAGTGCAGTTACCGAACGGTCAGACAGTGCAAGTGCACGGGGTGATCCAAGCTTCTCAGCCCTCAGTCATCCAGTCTCCACAAGTCCAGACAGTACAGGTGAGAGAAAACCCCTATGCATTGATATTTGTTTTGTTACAGTGCATCATAATTGAGCTTTAAAGAATGTTCAATATTTTCCAACATGTTTGATCCGAATTCTAAAAGTTGCTTTGCACCTGAAAGCATTAACTTTTATGATTTGAAAAGCGCAAATATGGACTTTTTGCTATTGTTTTAAATTAAAATGGCGCTCAACACTGTGCATTGATTTAACAACGAGTCAGTTGTTATTAATGACAACTGTTCAGGTAACAATCTCCCTAAAAAAGAAGCTGTTAAAATAAGACTTTAATGATTATTGTTTGCTTACAGATCTCAACTGTTGCTGAGAGTGAGGACTCTCAGGAATCTGTTGACAGCGTGACAGATTGTCAGAAGAGGAGAGAGATCTTGTCCAGAAGACCTTCTTATAGGTCTGTGTAACATCTTATCTTTGGGGTTTTTATGTCTGAACTTAGAAAGATAATAACTGATGCTTTTTAATTTAATCCAATTATTGTTGCATTTATGCAAAAACCTTGAAAAGTTTCTTGATATATTTCTGCGATTGTCCCCTTCCACAGGAAGATTCTGAACGATTTATCGTCGGACCCTCCCGCAGTGGCTCGAATCGAAGAAGAGAAGTCAGAGGACGACTCAGTCCCTGCCATCACCACGGTTACAATGCCCACTCCCATCTATCAAACCAGCAATGGCCAGTACAGTGAGTACTTTTACATACTGAGAAAACAGGAAGTTGTTTGTGTTGAAATATGCAAGCTTCCCTGCTATCAGGCGCTGCCCTTTCTCTATCCTATGCAGAGGATTTGTTGAGTTTAAGTTAATTTGAGACTGATTCTAACACTATTATGTCCCTCTGCAGTTGCCATTACCCAGGGTGGGGCCATCCAGCTGGCCAATAACGGCACAGATGGCCTGCAGACGCTGACCATGTCCAACACAGCCCAGCCGGGGGCCACCATCCTGCAATACGCCCAGACCAGCGACGGGCAGCAGATCCTGGTGCCTAGCAACCAAGTGGTTGTACAAGGTGGGGTAACTATTAAAAACATGTTCTGCTGAAGCATTATAAAGGAGAATTCATGAGTTTTGAAAAACTGTCAAAGTGGGTTTGTTTTCATTTCTGTGACTCTTCTCTGTCAGCTGCCTCTGGTGACGTCCAGGCCTATCAGATCCGCACAGCCCCCACCAGCACCATGTCATCGGGGGTTGTCATGGCGACCTCACCTGTAATGGGTACAGGAGGAAGCGGCACTGAGGAAGTCACGCGAAAAAGGGAGGTCCGACTAATGAAAAACAGGTAAGGGTGTCACGAGGTTCACTTAATACTTTGTACTTTTCTTTTTAACGCTGTGTTGTCTCCAGGCAAACGGTTGCAAGTCCTGAGATGCTTCAGTGTCACATGACCATCCTTAGGACAGGTTTCAGCTGACTGTCAATGTTGGCTCAGTAAATGAAATGACACCAGGTGCTGCTCTTTAAACTATTATTGTCAGATGGTAAATGTATTGTAGTTGGTGTGATTCATTCAGGATGGTGTGACAGTTAGGCCTGTCACAGTAACTGCTTTTGTTGGAAGATATCTTGTCCCAGAATCAGTTTCGATAAACAATTTTATTGTAATTTCTAGACAATTACAAGCCACGATCATCATATAATAATAATAATAATAATCATAAAGCAAGTACACCCTATTTTGAATTAAATGTGGATCTTAAATACATTATAATACGTCTCACATCCACATAATTGCAGCATTTGGAAATAAATTCAATATCAGCAAGTTTATTTAATTTAATTTAATTTGTATTTCATGTACTGTTATAGCCATGCAAAATATAAGAAGCTAGGCCATCCAGGTCATTGTAGCTTATGTTTAGACCTTAACCACAGACATAAACTCACACATATCCTACTGTCACGCAGGGAGGCAGCCCGCGAGTGCCGCAGGAAGAAGAAGGAGTACGTCAAGTGTCTGGAGAACCGTGTGGCCGTGCTGGAGAACCAGAACAAAACCCTCATCGAGGAACTGAAAGCCCTTAAAGACTTATACTGCCACAAATCGGAGTAGAAACATCAGCATGTGCCTGCCAGAAGGGGGGCGCGGGGCAACAGCAAGCCCCATGTACAGAGACTCGGCACAGGAGCCGTGCATCTGGGTGCCACGCCCCCTTTTTCTGCTCTTGTGCTTTCTTTTTAAAAACTGCAGTAAATTGACTCACCGGGATTAGAAAACACACATGAAAAGTCGGAGGAATGTTCAGAATGGCAACAGGGTCCTTGAATGAACAATGAGGATGTTCCTTTCTTATTGAATGCGATGTCACCAAAGGGAAGCATTCCAGTCACCGGTGCCTGGATACACACCAGCAACAGGGAGCGGCTGCACCACCATCGCCAAGGACCTTTTTACAGGTGAATCTCCCCAAGACTCTTTGGGAGAAGCAACGTTTGAAACCGAAACCGCTCTCTATCACTCGCATTAACGTGTTACTTACTAACGCTTAGAAATGTAGACGGGCCAGGTCATGGGACATTTGATCTTTTTTTAGCTGCGTTTTGTTTCACGTATCAGATGATCTGCTTGCATAATGCCATTTTATTTTTTAAATTGACTTTGCCTTGATACGGGATGAACACAAAATGTAACCAGTATGTTTGGGTTGTAACATGGTTTTCATGTTAAATGCAGCTTTAAAGACTAGGGATGTCCCGATCACCTTTTTTTGCTCCCGATTCCGATCATTTGATTTTGACAATTTGCCGATACCGATTTTTCCCGATCCGATCTTTATGCAATGCATTAAGAGAAAAAAAAGAAAAAAAGCATTCAACTTGTCCCTTAAGGTTATTTTTTTATTTAAATTGGATATTCTATCCAACATGGATATAGCTTCTGTTTTTCACAGCAGCATTGGATCAGTTCAGTTGTGCAGCATTGGATCAAAACAAAATAAAGCTTATCAGTACTCGTTAGCTTACTGCTACAATTAGACACTGCGCCCTGCCCACTCTGTTGCCAGATTTGAGAGAAAGAAGCAACCAGGTCTATGAAAACAAGCCCCAAAGAAGCAACACATACATGATGTTCTGTCATTTGAAACCAAAACTAAGGCCTCAGGATGACTTTAAGACTTGAACATGGTCATTTTTGTTTTGTAACATTGAATACAAAATTTAAAAAAAGTATTTTAAAAAAAAAAAAATCCCGATCCCCGATTTTTTTCTTCCGATCTTTTGAAAATCGTGTGATCGGCTCCGATCCCCAATCACGTGATCGGATCGGGACATCTCTATTAAAGACACATTGCAAAGTAGTCAAAAGCTCTGATAGACAGATTTATTTCTGATGCATGTTCACAAACATATTACTAAAGGCTCATTGTTTTTAATTTCGGGACAGATTAATTCAATCGAAATGCAGCTCATGCAAGTATGTAAACCAAAAAATTGTTAAACTACAGTTTGTGATAAAACTGTTTTCAATAATGTTTTTGTATGAAAGATTTTTTAAAGACAAATGACTTTAAAAAACGTGCCTGTTAAGAATGGGCATATCATCCGGGTTATTTTTAGAACACTTAATAGGGCTTTCCCCCCCTAATACACTANAGTGTTCATAACACTCAATATATTCTGTAGTCCTAACCAAGTTTCGGAACATCATCGTAAAATACCGCTTTTTTAAGTTTGATTTCATTCATTCCTAGATTCTTTTTTAGTGCAAATCAAAAACGATGAGCCTTACTTCTTTACAAAGAAATAAATACTTTGTCTCCATATTTCTTAAACTCATTGCCCGTCACTGGAATCAGAGATTGCTCTATATGTTGGTTTATTATACTGTCTTTGAACATGTAATGTCACATTGAGAATTCTGTATAATTGAAAAGTCCTGGGGTTCAGGTTGGTGTGTAATAAGAATATCTGGACCTGTCTATGTACAGTAGCGGGGTCCAGGTCTCTGAAGGAATAAGCAAGAGGCTGTCTCCAAATTCTGTTTACAGGAAGTGGGATGCACACTTTCCTCGCTTAAGCAATCCTACCACATTTCACACCAGGAAAACACTGCTAATCACAAAGTGTACATGGGTGTTTTGCTGCTTATGAATGAATAAGGCGTTATCATGCATTTGATTGGACGGTTTCAGTTATGTGGAGCTTCCAATCTCATCAAAAACGTCTGGATTGCACCTATCAAGAAGAGGATTAAGTGCGAGCAATTTAAAAGGACTTCTTCACCGTGAATACATTTCATCACAATGGAATGCCATGTTGTATTATGTATAGTCATGACATAGTATTATTTTTTTTATGTTGCTTATCATTAATTTTGTATTCACACTTTCTAAATGTCAGCACCAACTTGTATAAAACAGTGCATTATGTTAGAGCTATTCAAATATTTACATTGTTGGCAGCTCTTAATAAATGTGTTTCTGGTAATATTTGAATATTTTATTGGATTCTGATGCAAAAACAGCAAATTATTACAAATGAATGAGTGAAAACTCATGTCACAAATCCCTCCGAGGTGGCACTTTCCAAGATTTATACACATGGATGTCCCTCTGTTTGTCGTAGTAGACTTCTTCTACTGTGAAACGCTGCTTCAGCATGCTCAGAAAGTCTGTGTCTCGCTTGTAGCGGATCTTGCAGGCCAGTAGAACCACAGAAGTGTCCGAACACAGGTGCTCCAGAGTCTGCAGCAGCGACACAAAGGTGTCCTCCAGGTACACGATGTCTGCTCCCAGCACCACATCATACCCCCCTGCTGTGTAACGTTCAAGGCCCTCTCCCCAAGTCAGCTCAGACACAGCCACTGATCCCTGGGTGTCTTGGGGTAGGTTTGCCTTCACATTTGCAGACAGGAAGTCCATGGCCGGCTCTCTGTCAGTGATGGTCACTCTTTTTGCACCTAGAAAGGTTGCACAAAAAGAATAACGATTTTAGAAAAGGAAAAAGTGCAGACTTGGGGTTGTACTGTCTGAATAATACATGACGTCTCAATGCAATATGTATTATTGCTATATAACGTTAATGTTTATTGTCTGGGGCCCTATTCTCAAGCTTCCTATAGTTTACGGTGTCTCCATTATGTCTTATAATTGTACTTACATCTTATTTAAAACGTGAATAAATGATGATGTAGGCTAAAAATGGGACATTGAATGGCCAGTATTCATATTTCCTGGACAGTGAACTCACCAAGCAGTGCTGCAACAATGCCCACCAATCCAGTGCCAGCTCCGAGTTCAATGACCTCCTTCCCCTTCAACTCCACCTTCCCCATCTCCAGATAAATGCACATAACAACAGCCTGCGAAACAAAACGTAATATACTTGTAGTCAAATAATAAAACGTTAGTAAGCTATTAATGTTAACACCAATGTGTCACTTACCGCATCCCAAACAACCGCTGCTACCCCGAGTTTCTTCCAGTCCTGGGTAAGATGGAGGTCATGGTTAGCAAAGCGAAACTGTGCTGATGAATTATGGAGTTTAGAAAGCGCAGGTAACGGATTTTCTACGTACGGAACCAGAGCCATGCTTTTATAAAAGGGATAGAAACTAAACAATGGTGTATTTTACCTGTGACTTCACGCATGCGCACTATGGTTCTTCTTCTTTTGATTTTATGGCGGTTGGCGACCAGCGTTAAAGGCGCATTACCGCCTTCTACTGCATTGGAGTGTGGACCAGAATTATCAACCTTCAAAAATAAACAAATGTATTTTTAAAATAAATAAATTATTGGTCTTGAATTTCTAACATATCATTTGAGATTCGGTTGTTCAAAATTCCAAGCTTCCTGATTTCTGACTTTCTTTGGTAGCCTAAAGAGCCTTCTGGCTCTTTTACTGAGTCAATACCTCCATCTTCTTGTGGTTTACATGTACTTCAATGCCAATTTAATTTAAATCATTCCGTCGTCTGTTTCTTCTAAATCATCATAACATTTCCTGTTTCTTTTCGGAACACAGAACTTCAGAGGTTTTGCGTTATTAAACATTGTGGCGTATTTGCAATACTCATTTCCCAGCCCACTCCACATCAATGAGTCATTTCAACCAATTATGTAACAGCTTGGTTAAAAGTGACCAATGAGCAAGCCTGATTTTAAAATGGGCGTGCACGCAAAGGATTTTCTCAACGGCCGTGTTTTCTATTTAATTAAGGGGGCGGAGCCTGGAGATGAAGCCCACTAGTTCTGTAACGCTCACAACCACAACACATAGCACCAACACAGTTTCCGTTTGACCTGCGTTCCTGTACACAAAATAAAAGCATGGAAATCTGGAAATAAAAGCTTCATCACATAAACACTTTTAACCTGACATGAGGGGCGTTTCCAATTCAGAACCATAATGCATATTGTATTGTATATATTTTTTGTACAGGTTTTTAAGATAAGATAAGTAATACTATTCTGAATTAATGTAAAACGTGAACAAAATAAGCAAATTAACTTAAATAAAAGCTGGAGAAATCAGGATTTTTATTTTAAGTATAGCTTTTTTTATGAATAAAATGTCCTTCCATGAAGTTAACGGTTTTAATTTTGAACTGAATAATTAGCACACACATTGCCAGATATAAAATATACGTCACTAAATAAGAATGTTAAGACCATGACACCATCAAATACAAGAGGACCATTACTTTGAAAATCAGTAGCCGGAAGTTACATCTGAACTTTCAGTGCTGCGTTGGATTTGACATCCAAGACGTGTCTCCTGCAAATGCGACGAGATGAGAGCTAACGTTGGCTACCTCTTAAAAATTCCAAAACTCGTTATCTTTTCACGTATTTATTGATCCAAGGAGTTGGTTCCAGTTGGGTAATGTAAAGTGTATTCTTGTAGATAAGTCTTTAAGTGTGACAGGTACTGTAACTGCAGTAAAATATGGATCATTCCATGCAAGCCAGGAATGGATTGAGCTGCGGAAGCTAGCATTAGCCGGCTAGCTATGGAGGGAGCTAGAGGAGCCTGTGACTTTGTATGTTAGCTTTTATTCAATAACATGAGCTAATATTAGTCATTTAACGCCCAAAAAATATTAAGTTCACGCGTGTTGTTGTTATTAAAGTGCACCAGTGCTATGCTGCGCACACGCCCTGAAAATGTCAGCTGTCCTGCACATACTGCAGACACCCAGTTGGCTTTCATTAAATCCCATTCAACTCTGAAGCAGAATTCTTCACTTTGCTGCCAAAAATACAGGCTAGATTGGGTCCTAGTAAACTAAATGCTTTATCTGAAGAGTCAGTCAGCTTTAGATTGGGGTTTCTTTCATTGACTGCCACTTAGAGGATTTAGATTAAACCTAAGCTGCAGGAGTTGTATGGGAAACATTGCTGGCTGTAGCAGGACTGTTGTAGGTCAAAGATGGGAGGTTCGGTGTCTTGCTGCATCTCTCCTGGAGAGAGTCCCAAGATCCACAGGAGGGAGCTGGAGCTGGAGGAATGTCCCATCACCACCACCGAGGACGTGAGCGAGGACACTGGCACCTACCTGCAGCACATCAGCGACAGGGAGCTCCCGGACGGTGGGTGATGAATCACTTTGCTGCTTTTTTGGGACACTTTGCAACATAGCATCATTATGGAGACTTTTGGGACAAACCGATTCAGTATTTTTAATGCTTTCCACTTGTTCTTACAGAGCTGGCCCAAGAGTCAAACCCATCAGACCACCCCAGAGCCAGCACCCTCTTCCTCAACAAGTCGCAGACAGACGGTCAGTATTTACCTGCTAAAGCCATCACCAATAATCTGTTTTACACCCTCTGAATCTCTTAAACCCACTGACTTCTTATTTTATTTTGTAATATTTCAGTGCGTGAGAAGAGGAAAAGCAACTACTTGAATCATGTAAGTGACAGGTCTGCGTGTACTTGATGCTTACGTTTTTCTTACACTTGGGCAACATTTGAACCAGAAATGCCATTCGCTTAATTAAATGTTTAAAAGGATGTATTGCTGTGGGGCTCTTTAAGGTACTTATCCGTAATCTGAAGCTAAGTAATGTACTTTTGTGATGGTGGGAGCAGCAATATCAAGACGCAGCTCATTCCTAATTCCAGCGTCTGTAGGTAAAACACTGAATAGGGTAAAGTACCTCATACAGCCCCACTTTAAAACATCCAAACTCTAACAGGTATCCCTCCACTCATTGTAAGCGTGCTCCATTCCCTCCTCCCTTGCAGATGTCCCCTGGACAGCTGACAAAGAAGTACAGTTCTTGCTCAACAATATTCATCGATGACAGCACCGTCAGCCAGCCCAACCTCAAGAGCACGATCAAATGGTAAGTGACACTCCCTCGCCTCTGAAATATCTTCACAGAAGTAGTTTATCTTTTGTAATTTAGTTTGCTGCTTTCCTTTTGAGCAAATTGTGGTCATGGGACAAGGAAAGAGTCATGGGCTTTGTCCCTCACTTCTCAAAACATTATTATTTCAGCTATTCTACTTCCAGCTGACACGCTAACTAGTGGTGCACGATAATTATAGGCCCCGATAATTATCGGTCCGATATTAGGAATTATGACGTCATCCCGATAAACCCGATAAAAGTATTAATAGCCCCGATAATATACAATATATTTTTTGGATAAAAAAAAAGAAAAAAATACTGCGGTGTGGGTGGATTGGGATGAGGGGCGCTTGTTTTTCACTCGGCTCCTCCCGTTTTGCCAGTACTGTGGTATTAGTGGTTTAGGAAGAGGGGAGTTTTTCACAAATCCAGCGCTCCCTAACTCATGCCTGGCTGTGACGTAAATGGTGTGCGGCCGTGAAGCCAGGACAGTAAACAAACATGTCGTCGGTAGTATGGGACTATTTCAAAGTTTCAGAGTTAGATAGTTCGCTTGCTATTTGTATTAACAAATGCAATGCAGAAGTTCCACAAGGAGGGAAAAAGGCAACAAGCTATAATACTTCCTACCTGATTAGTCACCTGAAACATCGCCATCGCTACGATGGTGTGTTAAAAGCGTACAAAGACGCCTGCGATGCTAAACTAGCGGCGAATCCAAAGCNGCCAGTACTGTGGTATTAGTGGTTTAGGAAGAGGGGAGTTTTTCACAAATCCAGCGCTCCCTAACTCATGCCTGGCTGTGACGTAAATGGTGTGCGGCCGTGAAGCCAGGACAGTAAACAAACATGTTGTCGGTAGTATGGGACTATTTCAAAGTTTCAGAGTTAGATAGTTCGCTTGCTATTTGTATTAACAAATGCAATGCAGAAGTTCCACGAGGAGGGAAAAAGGCAACAGGTACATTTAATATATATATATATATTATCGGTTATCGGTATCGGTCTTGAGAAGCAGGAAGTTATCGGTATCGGTTTCAAAAAACCAATATCGTGCATCCCTTAACGCTAACCCATTGTTAGCAATGTCTTACATCGGCCTCTTTATAAAACTGCAGAGAAAATATCAATATGTCCTTCAGTCCCATTCCGACAAACGTAGCAGCCGGTAAAGTTACGGCGGATATTGGAAGACATTTAAAATGCAGCCAGGAGGAAATCACAACCAGTGGTTCTCTGCTTATCACTGTTGATTTCTCTTTGTTCCAGTGTCGCATTGGCCATGTACTATCACATAAAGAACAGGTAAGAACAGTTTGTTATATATCATAAATTCCACTGCTGTTGTGTTTTTAATACTGTTTCATCTTTATCTCTATCATAATGGGACCATTTTGTTAAGGGCCGGCTAGTCAGTTAGGCAGGTAGCTAGTCAGTGAGGCAGGTAGCTAGTCAGTGAGGCAGGTAGCTAGTCAGTGAGGCAGGTAGTTAGTCAGTGAGGCAGGTAGCTAGTCAGTGAGGCAGGTAGCTAGTCAGTGAGGCAGGTAGCTAGTCAGTGAGGCAGGTAGCTAGTTAGCAGTGAGGCAGGTAGCTAGTCAATGAGGCAGGTAGCTAGTCAGTGAGGCAGGTAGCTAGTCAGTGAGGCAGGTAGCTAGTCATTTAGGCAGGCAGCTAGTCAGTTAGGCAGGCAGCTAGTCAGTGAGGCAGGCAGTTAGTCAGTGAGGCAGGTAGCTAGTCAGTGAGGCAGGTAGCTAGTCAGTGAGGCAGGTAGCTAGTCAGTGAGGCAGGTAGCTAGTTAGTTAGGCAGGTAGCTAGTCAGTGAGGCAGGTAGCTAGTCAGTGAGGCAGGCAGCTAGTCAGTTAGGCAGCTAGTCAGTTAGGCAGGCAGCTAGTCAGTTAGGCAGGTAGCTAGTCATTTAGGCAGGTAGCTAGTCAGTTAGGCAGGTAGCTAGTCATTTAGGCAGGTAGCTAGTCAGTTAGGCAGGCAGTTAGTAAGTGAGGCAGGTAGCTAGTCAGTTAGGCAGGTAGCTAGTCAGTGAGGCAGGTAACTAGTCAGTGAGGCAGGTAGTTATTAAGTGAGGTAGTCAGTCAGTTTGAAAACAAAAAATAATGTGTACCATGGTTTATCAACCAATAATGGTTTTCCGATAAGCCATTGGCAGTCAGTAAGTTAGATTGATAGATGTGTTCATCATATAGTTGAAATGCCATTTAGTGTAAGGCTGAAGTGAGAAAACCAAAAACATTTAAAACCCCACAGATAAGCCATTTGGTACAAGGGGAAAACAATCCTATAATATGCATATTTAACTTTGCTTTATGTCCTTCTCCTACAGAGACTCCAACCGCACGCTGGACATATTCGATGAGAAGAAGCACCCTCTGACGGTGAGTCGAGGCGTTTGATCAGACCGAGAACATTTACCGTTTGCTCTGTGCCGATTGACTAATGACTCTGCCCAACAGCGGGATAAGGTTCCAGACGACTACTCCGTGGTGGACCCCGAACACAAACTCATCTACCGCTTCATACGAACGCTCTTCAGCTCGGCGCAGCTCACTGCTGAGTGCGCCATTGTCACTCTGGTGAGTTTACAGCAGATTCAGACCCTCTAATTTTCATCACTTTCACATCTACTGCAACCCGGAAATTATGCAGACATTACCCAAAAGAGCTGCATGTGAGAAGGCAACTGTGCAATCAAAATGTTCCCTGCAAGCTTCCTTGTACAAAGTCCATTCAATGACCACTTCTTGCCCGGATCATTCACAGCAACTGAGCATGTGTGTGACGTTTTTCTAAAAAGAAAAAAAAAAGAAACCAATTAAAATGTTTAACTGGAAGCATTAAAGATTCAGGAACTCTTGCATTGTAAGGATCAGTGTAAAAAATCTAGAAGTAAAAATGTGTATGTGACATGTAATCATTTCCTGCCTCCTGCTACTGTTATATATGTACATAACCTGATGGATGTGTTCTGTGTTAGGTATACCTGGAAAGGCTGTTGACGTACGCTGAGATGGACATCTGTCCCTGTAACTGGAAGCGGATCGTTCTCGGCGCCATCCTGCTGGCCTCCAAGGTCTGGGACGACCAGGCTGTGTGGAACGTCGACTACTGCCAGATCCTCAAAGACATCACAGTGGAGGACATGCGAGTGTTTTCTTTCAACCATGAATGAACCGTTCTGCTGCTGCAGTCCAATGTAACTAAACTGGAGGAGACTCATTTAATGTCTATTCTCTGCAGGAACGAGATGGAGCGTCACTTCCTGGAGTTGCTCCAGTTCAACATCAACGTCCCGGCCAGCGTCTACGCCAAGTATTACTTCGACCTGCGCTCGCTGGCGGACGAAAACAATCTCAGCTTCCCTCTAGAGCCGCTGAGCAACAAGCGGGCCCAAAAACTGGAGGTGAGGATGCCCAAGGCTGCATTCCAAATCTGGCATGTCTCCTTGTTTTGTATAAGTGGTAACCAGGGTTGGGAGGGTTGCTTTAGATATTATAATGGATTACATTTTTGGTTACATGTCATCAGAAATCCTTTTAGTCCCACAGCTGGGAAATGTTGTTACAGCAAAAAGGCATAGCAGGTTAAAAAAGCATGCAGTAATGAAGATTCATATAACTATGAAATATAGATAAGAAAAGCACACATTAGTTATACTGTTAAAGACAAAGAGTGTGCATCCATGGCTAAAATGATGAGCAACAACTTAGTGGCATAGGTGTTGAGACATTTTAACAATTTTCAGACATTACATATTTTTTTTTCTCTCTAGGCCATCTCCAGGCTGTGCGAGGACAGGTACAAAGACCTGAGTAAATCGTCTATGAGGCGGTCTGTCAGTGTAGACAACATGGTCGGAATCAAGAGCTCCCACGCTGTTCTGTCTTAAGCCTCTGGAAGTGGAGCAACGAGCGGAAAGTCAAGATGGAGGATGTCATTGCACATTCAAGAGACATTTCCAAAGTATATCACTAACTGAAAAGTGCCATTACAAAACTTTTCGGAGCTTTAACATATCTCTAAAGTATAACGAATCAAGTCTGTGTTCATCTCAAAGAACTTCAGCTATCCACCTTCAAAGCATGATCATTTCTCGAAATATGTTGTGGCGTTTCTTTCAGAAATAGACTTTGAGCGCTCTACCCCCTCACCTATATTCACATGACTGTCTTGAGCTACCCTGTGGAGTGGTTCTGCACACGGACAGAGAGTAGATTTTGTTTTGCTTACTGTGTAGGCACCTATAGCTGTGAAATGTACAAGACTTTATTTAATTCAAATAAATCGGTACTCTCTTTTTCTCTTTGTTGGAGCTTTTTGATACGATGCTTGGAAGAAGAGGCAAAAGGTCAGAAGTGCTATGCAATTTGCCTTGCAGAATGAACAGTTGCGTTTAAATTACCTTTCTTGTACAGATCCATTTAATGATTCTGTGACTTACGTGATTTCCTCACAGCATGAAAAGTCACAGAAATGAATGACATTAGAATTGAAGCCGAACAAAAATATGTCAATTGTCATCAATTCAGATGCAATGTTCTGGTATATTCAAATGCATGACGTACAATCATTTCCATATGTCCTTCAATAGGATACTAATGCACTTTAGATGCCTATGTATAATTCAGTGAACCAAAGTAAACCATCACAACAGAAATATGCCTTTCCATTATATTTGAAAGCTAATAACAGGTATTTGGTAGGAAATCATGATTATACCTTTTGAATATAGCCTGTGTAAGGTAAAAATACTTATGATGAAGGATTTTTTTTTCGATGACATAATTCAAACATGCTCTCCTCGACGAGCTTTGATTCATTCATGGCCCCTTCCTCCTCACAATTACTCAGTTGAAGACCTCCATCCTCTCAAACAACAGCTTGTGTTCTACCTTGAGTGACAGCTGAACCTCTGAATTCCTCAAACGGCTCTATCTCCAATACATCCAACGAGACGGCTACAGTCGGCTTTAATGAAGACGTGGATGAAATGTCCAGCTGTCTCTCCTGGGACTTCTCTTTTTCAGACAAAACTTTCCTGGCTTTTATTCTTGTCTTTCTTGCCTGTGTCATTTAGTCTTCTGCACCAAACGGATTCCTCCTTTTTCTGACTGTGAGATTCAAGCCCCTCTTGTGGCAGCGGGCTACATTTTTTTACCGCTTTGGTTGTACTGACTTCTATCGTGCGGAAGCAAAGTCAGATCTACGGATGCTGGTGCATTGCACAGTTCTGTATCATACGTTGTTTTGTCCTCACGGCCCAGATGACCCTGGCTCTAATGGCCGTGGAACGCTACATATTTCTTTGCCACAGCATCCACTACCTCAGAATGATCGACACCTGCAATGTTCACGTTAGCACGGGGCTCATTTGGTTGGTCAGTTTGGCGGTGAGCCTCCATGGAGGGATAGTGGTGAGCTTGCATGAGGGGGGGCTTCCTACAGCCAACCAGCACGTCACACTTTCCCACTGAGAATTCATGCTGCTGATTGTTCCCCCAACGGTCATTACGAATGTGTGCATATTGTCTGTGTGCTACTGCTACGGGTGCATGTATTGTACTGCCCTCAGGGTGAGCATGACCCTCAAGCGCAGTAACCACAGAGCCAACCGCACCGTGGGTTTCTACTTTTTGATGTTTCTGCCCCAGCTGTTGCTGGCCTTATTATTTTTCATTCTCCGAGAAGAGAAAAGCATCCTCCTGTGTAAAAAATCACTGCCTTGGTGACACCTCTTCTATTTAATAATACCGTCATTGGTGCAGGCAGCATTCCATCTCATAAGGACCCCGCAGATTAGGCGACTAATATTTCCGACAAGAATTGAAGAGGAGGAGGTGTTTCACGGGATAGAAAATCACAAGCAAGCTGAGCGGGAGAACACATCTGCTTCACCTGCTTGAGTTTTACCTTCTATTTCTGGGGACTGATAATAGTATCAAACCGGTTTCAGGTGTCACGAACACTGCTTCAGTGTGATCATTTGGTCATATTTGTGTCAGCCTGCTTATTTGGATCATATAAGAGATATAGAATGTTCTAATTATTAATGTTATTTGTACCAATAGTGGTAATATATGATGTGTAAAACTACATCATGTGCCTACAATGGTGTTACTTTGACTATACAGTCACCAAAATGGATTGTCAGGAGGATTTGTGTTGCTGTAAACATTTTTAACTCAAAGATCACAAACACAAGACTGTTTTTATCACCTGTCATTACATTTCAATGAGCTCACACTTTCATCCAGAGTGACTTACAATAATTAAACGGTTCGGTAAGTTAGTACTGTAGGTTCAATAGAAAAGTGCAGATTGTGCTAATAGTATTGATTGATTCCTAAGGTTAAATGTATCCTTATTTTTTATTTGGATTAACTTGAAGTATTATTGACTTTCTTTTTGTCAATGTGTGAATTAGTTGACATCAAAGTTTTGTTGTGACTTCAATGCAGATAACATAATTAAAGGCATTTTTTGGATCAGATTTTCGTTACGACTGTAATAAATGCTCCAAGTTCATCAACATCTATTGTTTCCTCTTTCCCTATCCTCAAATACCTTTTCACAAGTCTACATCCTTGGGGGTTTTCTTTTCTCTGTGTACTTTCTTTTTGCTTTTTTCAGCAGAACCCTATTACTGGTAGATGCACAATCGTAGTACCTGTTTGGAGCACAGAGAGGCACTGCTGCAGTTTGTAAGGCATCCGGTCTGACTGCAGGCATGAGATTAGTCCGTGTGTTAATGCGACACCCTCTCCACTCTCCCAAGCTCTGGTGCAGTTTGCTTGCATCTTTTCCAGAATAAAAGATAGACACACTCAGGCGTTTTTCATTTGAGCTTTTCAGATAAAGACTCCTGAAGGTTTGAATCAATTTGCATAATGTATGACATAAATTAGAGAAAACTGTAGATATGTATTGTTGAAGGTCCTACTTCCAATTAAATGCACGTTCATTTCTAAGAAATCCAATGTCCATATGTCGGTGTACCACCCTCAGTGCAACAAACACTTGACTCGCATCATTGCAGGTACATGAAAACTGTCACAAGGCGAAATGAATAGTGTGTGTGCATGTACGCTTGTGACTGTGTGTGTATCCTGCAGGGATCACGGTGTCAGCGCAGCTTCATTAATCTCTCGGCATCATGGGACTTGTCTGAACTCTAAAAGAGGGCTGGAGAGAACAAGCTGCCCCCCCGGGGAGTCACTCCGTTTACCCTCCACACACGCGGGTCACTCCTCCTATCACACACACTTCAACTATACAATGTCAAACACTCCAGTAGGCCCTTAAAACGAAGCTGATGTGCTCAGGATGCGTATTGGCGTGTGCATATTTGTGTTTGTCCATGCGTGAAGAGTGATAGAAGGTGAGAGCAGCGAATTAGACGGTGAGACTTTTTTTTGTTGTTGCAGTATGTGGGTCATACTGGATGTGCATGATGTCTTCAAGTAGCAAAAGGCAAAACTGTGCCACGACTGTATCATAAATATTTATTTCCCCTCAATAATGCATAGGAAAGCACATATACTGATTACATTACAAAAAATACTGCTATACATATCTCAAGGATAAGATTCACATTATACAGATACTAAACAGATTAGAGTTAAAGCAACATAATTTTATCAGGACAATATTTTCTTTTAATAAAACTGGATGCCTTGTAGTGACAAAAACATTTTTGTAGCTTTGAACATGATGGCTGACACAGTAGAATTCAGAGGAATACATCAGTAGCTGTAGTACTCTTGAAATCAGTCATGATCCAATCAAATCGTTTGTTTTCTTTCCCTTTTAAAGCGTTGCACTCTGCACCACAGAATTGTCTCGAGTGGATTCACCACAAAGGCTTCTCCCGACAGGAACGTGGTTTTCCCCGTGTGGAAGATGAATGGGAAAATAAATGGCACTTATAATTAAATTAGCCTGGGAGGATGTAACACGTTCGGCTTCCATGCTGCTCCAGCTAGTCCCCGAAAAGGTTCCTGCATGATTCTCACTTGGTGTGTCATGGTGTACACTGACAGCTCTGTTTAATGGCATTCACACGACAGCCGCATGAATTGAAAAAAAATTAGCTGTATAACTCATAGAGAAGGAAAATTGATTGCTTACGATCTGGTGAGTTCATGGTACAGCTAAACTACCAATCATGGATATCACTGACATCAAGATTGCACTGTATGCTTTACGACTTATTGACTCGTCATATAATTTACCATTTTGGAATTCAGTCTTGGACAAAACTGCAAAACCGCAGATAATCTTTCAATAGGGAAAGCATTATTCGGTTCCCGATGATCTCTATCTTCTCAGGTTTGTTTGAATTCATTTCATCTGAATATCCTACATTCCTTTTGTGTCAGGTTTTTTTCCCTTATCTTTTCGAAATCAAGCCAAAGAGCTCAGTGTTTCTGATGGTTTTCTACATTTGTCTTTGTGCAGAATGGTACAGCTTATGTACGTACTTTAACGCAGAACAAATTCACACCAAAACATGCCGGTACCTATTATTCTATCCTCTTTACAGCTCATTTGAAAGTGAGGATGTATAATCGGTATTAAGTTTGCATGTCCATGTCTTGGTCTCTGATCCAAGCTCCTACCGTCTCATGGCAGGGCTTCCATCACAACTTTGCCGCCCCACTGATGCTACTGCTGAGCTGGCACGTTAATGGTGGTAGACTGCTGCTGGTTCGTCTCTCTAATGAGCTTGGTGTGAGATTTAAACCTTGTTTTGCACCCCTGGCTCCTGGCATTAGGAACAAAAATACCAGGACTGCCAGTCTGTCAGTATTAAAGCAGACATTAGGCAGATGACAACTTGGTCCAAAGAGGGTCAAATGCACTTTGACCTTTTTAATTTGAGAAGAAGGGACGTTGAGGAAGCTACCTCCATATACCTTACTGCAGGTTTCCAGTAGGTACAGGACACAGGGTGAGATGTAGTGTTGTAGTCTTTATGTTGCATTGACCTCTGCGTTATACATCACTGAGCCGCTGTGCCGCACCTGCTGCTAACAGTCCTTTTCACTACAGCTCTTATCAAAAACACAAAACTGCTTATTCATATAAATGTTTATGAAATGTCCCTGCAAGCTGAAGTGTTTTCTGAGTTTTGCT